TCAGGGCCGTGATCAAAGACCAATCGAGCTGCAGCCGCCTGATCTCCAAAATCCTATAGAAGCATGTATCCTGCAGGCGTCTGACTACACGGGAATGGAGAACTTTGCCCTTCAGAAAGTCCCACATGTCGTCCACTCTCCTGACGCGGAGAGTCTGGGCCAGTAACTTTCCCTCCCATATGTGGGAGGACCTATGATCGGCCTGTAACGACATCAGTTCATCGCTAGAAGGTCCGGGATGCATAGGCGGAACCTCCATATCGTCTACTGTAAATTACACAACATTAATTACATGTTTAGTTTTATAATTTTATATGTTTGTTTGTAAATTAAATAATTATACAAGATTTAATTATTAAGTATTCACAAATGGGTTTCAGGTTTGATATTTGAGGCCCAATATCACCAATATATTCGGAATTCTTGTATGTGTTAGTTTTATTATTTTACATGTTAGTTTTATAATTATATATATTTTTTTTGTAAATTAAATAATTAATTTTTTATAATTATACAAGATTTAATTATTAAGTATTCACATATGAGTTCGAGGCTCGATATTTGAGACCCAGTAGCACCAAGATATCCGAAATTCTTGTATGTGTTAGTTTTATTATTTTACATGTTAGTTTTATAATTTTATATGTTTGTTTGTAAATTAAATAATTAATTTTTATAATTATACAAGATTTAATTATTAAGTATTCACATATAGGTTCCAGGCTCGATATTTGAGGCTCAGTAGCACTAAGATATCCAGAAAATATTATTATTTTCTCATGTTATTTTCTTACGATTGTTGATTAGAATTGGACAGAGTTTGTGTTTGATCTATCAGCTATTTTGACGTATTTTTGGGTATAAGAGATACACTTAAATGATTAATTTTAATAACTATAGGGATACTACGCTAAAAGGCACTACATTTTACTACGCTAAAATGATACTATATTACTAGTCTTTAAGCAAATAAATAATCTAAATCAGATAAAAATAACAAATACATTTAATCACAAAACATTCACGAAAATACATATACAACAATAAAAAGTAACTTATTAATATTTTTTTGAACAAATAATAATAATTTCTCAATCTTTACATTTTTTTTAGCACACTAATATCTTAGTTCGGATAAAAATAACATACCAGTTTAATCGCAAAAAAAACATAAAAGGGAAGTGACGGTATTTGAAGGGGTATAACGCCGTTTATTAAGGCGCTATACATATAACGTCTTAATAAACTACGCTATGCCTGGACGTCTAATCAGTTATATATATATTGCCCTTTTAAAGGACACTATATGTATTTTGATCACTAAGTTTTTTTTTCACGCATTTCAATTGTTTGAGTAAAAAAAAAAATCATATTTTGATTCCGGACTCAATTTTTGGGTACCCATCAAGCATACTGTCCACTCATGACATGCACTTCTTCTTTCAATTTAAAAGGCGGCAGTGGTCATGGCTTCAGCTAAGTCAGTCCACACAATAGTATAAGGACAGAAAAGATCGGAATAAAATATAAATTAAATCTAATAACAACATTCCCTGACATTTCAATTTGCATCCTCACATTATGTTGTAAATGTAAGCACGGCGATAAAATGTATATATATATATAAAAATATATTTTTTTTGACTATTATTTTGAGAGCGATGACACAATGTCATTTTTCCTATAACATACGTCGGAGTGTGCCCCTAAATATGTACGTCCCGATGTATTTATGTTCCAAAAATTAAATTAGATACCAATAACTCAAAGAAAATAAATGACACGAAACATCTACTATTTTATTCCAGCAAGTGACCAAGGTCCTGTTTTCAACCTCTCTCTTTCATCAATCAGTCCACATCCACCTAAGATTTTAAAAAATAAGAATTACAAAAAAAGAGAAGAATAACGCAAAGAATGAGCTTTTTGAAGGACTACAGTCTATCAGCACCAAAGCTAAAAGCAAAATTGTGGTCCGTAGGCATTGTCCAAAGTGCATACCATCTCTATATTCCAATTCCCATTCCCCCCTCTAAAAATCATGTCCACTGAATCTTTAATCACAACCACAACCCCTGCAATTCTCTTGGATCTCTAACACCATTTGCATTTTCGTCTAACAACAAGAGCCAACCACCATTTTCCCAAGAACCCAACAACTCCCCATTTTCAAAATGTCTCTAGCTATTAGACTGCACGTTACTAGTACCATTTTCCACTATTGTAATAACACTAGCAAGAAAAACCCCTTTAGTCACAATTGCACCAAATTTAAAGCCAACCCCATTTACCATTTTGACAAATTATCTCACCTTGTGTTTTCCCACAGAAAAAAGATGAGTTCTTTAACTTCTTCAAGAGGGTCTTGTGGGATGAGTGTGAAGAGTTCTTTGATTGAACCAGATGGGGGTTCTTTAGTGGATCTTGTGGTGCCTGAGAATCAAAGGGTTGCAAAAATTGCAGAGGCAGAAACTATGGCAAAAGTGAAGCTGACAAAGATTGATCTTGAATGGGTTCATGTGATTAGTGAAGGTTGGGCTAGTCCTCTTAAAGGGTTTATGAGAGAGGATGAGTATTTGCAGAGCTTACATTTCAATTCACTTAGAATGAAAGATGGGTCTATTGTCAATATGTCACTTCCTATTATTTTGGCAATTGATGATGAAGATAAAGAGAAGATTGGTGCCTCCAGTGATGTTGCTTTAGTTGGGCCAAATGATGATTTAGTTGGCATTCTTAGAAGGTGAGGACTCTATATACATTTGTGGATAAGAGATTGTTTTTTTTTAGGGGGGTTTAAAGAGATGTTCTATCTCTATTTTCCCTTCTTCTTTTTTTATGCCTTAACATATCTGTTTGTTTTGCATTTGCTAAAGATTGAAAATTTCCCTGCGGAAAGATAATAATGCTACAATTGCTACTTCATGTTTGGATTTTATAGTTCAATTACTGCAAGATGACATCTTTATGTGCCTTTTCCTGCCCTGATAAAAACATGTCTTGTTATACAATTGCTTAGATATGTGGTGTAAGGGCTTCCAGAAGTGTTTATAGAAGTCTTGGCCTTCATCCTTTTAAATGTTCAAATTCTTTCACATGGTATTAGAACCAACCTTTATGTAAGCTGATGTGAGGAGGGTGTTGAGTTGCAAAATTAGTTTGCATATGTTGTCAGAGGCGGATCAAGGATTTGAATTCTATGATTTCGAACTCATTATATTATTAAAGTTATGGGTTCATATATGCTATTTGTTCTTATTTTAGATAATTTTTACACATAAATTTATGCTCCGCATCGAAAGACAAAAGTACTGGATTAAGATGAACCCGACACGCTACGCTGGATCCGCCCCTGTATGTTGTGTAAGAGTATCAAAAGGGGTTATATAAAGGTCTTGGGTTACTTTATCATTGCAATGAGGTTTTGTGTTGCATACACTTAGTTTCACAAAACAGAAACACAACTTCTTTCATTAAGTCCTAGCAAGTTGTGATAGGCATGAATAGCTAATTTTTTTTATTGTTGTAGCATTCGGGTCATATTATGTGCATTTTGACTAATCCACTAGGTCCCTGCTGTTGCTGGCTTATCACCAGATTGAGTAACTCAATCCACCAAGATTTAGACAAAGATGAATAGAGATGAAAAGAAATCACTCGACTTTTTGTACCTCTACGAGATCTGAATCGTAGTTTCTCATGGTCCACTCCAACTTTATTGACTGCTAAGCTACACCCTTGAGTGCTAGACATTGAATATCTATTCTTAAAATGTCAAGCTAATTAGGTTGCTTCTTTATAGTAAAGCGTGAGTCTTCAACAGTCTAGTTGTATTAGAATTGTATCATTAAGTTTCACATCTTTGGTCTAGTTTTGTTGTTTTAAAAAGCACTAACAATCTGACTGACCTAGTCTCGAAATGGTCTTCCATTTGAACCATGCTTTTATCTTTCAAGTGGCTTACTTTATAATGGTTTTCACCTCTATCCAGGTTTTTGTAACAAAATGGCAATGACAATATAAAAAAGAAAGGTTAAAAATCAATTGTACTTGAGTGACTTCAGGAGCACCTAGACTTGAAATCATATTCACATGAATAATAGTTGAAACTCTTCTTTATAAAAGAGATAAAATATGAATGACAGGAAAGAAGCAGGAAAATGTGTTTACGATATTATGGGATCTTCCCAATCCGTTCGATGAATACACAGACTCCACAATAATTTAACTCTCTATCAGTGAAGTTATATGGTCTTGTTGTTGGGGAGTGGGAATGGATCTGTACCGGCAATTGTTGCAGTATTCAACTTAGCGTACCATCGCTTAAACACAATGAAACTTTTCTAGCAGCTCATCGCCCCCTCCGAGTGGCCTAGTGTAAAGAAATTGCCTCCAATTTTATGCCAATGATCCGTGAGTTTTTCTAGTAAACTCATATTTCATACATGTAGTTATAAAAGTATCTACTCATTCGTAATTGTAATGAGAATGTCTACTTTTTACCTGGTTGTTATGATCTATTTCTGTTCGGAGAAGAACTTCTCATGATTAAATATCTTTTCTTTTCGGCAGTATTGAGATCTACAAGCACAACAAAGAAGAAAGAATTGCAAGAACATGGGGAACTACAGCCCCAGGATTACCTTATGTTGAGGAGGTAATTACTCCTGCTGGAAATTGGCTCATTGGTGGAGATCTGGAAGTCATAAAGCCTATCAAATATAATGATGGTCTTGATCACTACAGGCTCTCTCCCCAACAACTTCGAAATGAGTTTGATCGACGGGAGGCAGATGCAGTATTTGCTTTTCAGTTGAGAAATCCTGTCCATAATGGCCATGCTTTGCTTATGAATGATACACGGAGGAGACTTTTGGAAATGGGTTACAAGAATCCAATTCTTCTGCTCCATCCTTTAGGTGGTTTCACTAAGGCTGATGACGTGCCACTAGATGTCCGTATGGAACAACATAGCAAGGTTAACTTTCTCCATTTCCTTTATCTCTCATCTATCTGCTCGACCTCTAGGGTTTGAAGTGCTGTTACTTAATGAGAATTGCACCTATATAGGTCCTAGAAGATGGAGTTCTCGATCCCGAGACTACTATTGTGGCCATATTTCCCTCACCAATGCATTATGCTGGACCTACTGAAGTACAGTGGCATGCAAAGGCACGGATAAATGCGGGTGCAAATTTCTACATTGTAGGTCGCGATCCGGCTGGTATGAGCCACCCACAAGAGAAGAGGGACTTGTATGATCCAGATCATGGAAAGAAAGTTCTAAGCATGGCCCCTGGTCTTGAGAAATTGAACATTCTGCCCTTCAGGGTAGGTTGCCAACCTCGCTTATTGCATTAACCTTTATAGTTTTTCTCAGAGATCACTTGAGTATATTCTGCTAGCATATCTGGTACTCCCTCTGTCCCAATTTATGTGGCACCGTTTGTCTGGGAACATAGTTTAAGAAAGAAAAGAAGACTTTTGACACTTGTGGTTTAAAACAAGTATTAAGCATTTGTGTGACTATAAATCATCTCATGAAGTGCAAAATGAGAATTTTAAAGTTAAAATATTTCTAAAAATGAAAATGTTACATTCTTTTTGGGATTAAAAGGAAAGTGTGTTACATAAATTGGGACGGAGGGAGTAATTAGTATTAGCAGTGCTCATATATTACCCGCATACGAGTGCCCCAATTCACATGGTGAAGTCAAGACAGATTCTATTGATGTTTCGTCTTAAGTTCAAAGCATCTTTCTCCTCTACTGTTTGTCATTGTAATTAGCTTCAGCTTTTCCTGAACTCATCTCGATTTCTATAAATGTAAAGGCCCAGAGTATCTTCTTAAACTTCAAATTTCTGTTTATCTTTTGCAGGTGGCAGCATATGACACAGTCGATAAGAAGATGGCATTTTTCGACCCTTCACGTGCTAAAGAGTTTCTCTTTATTTCTGGTACCAAGGTGAGGACGGGATTATGGTGCCATGTTATTTTGGTGGTTCTTGTATTTCAATGAAACTCACATAGAAGTTGGTTTAGACACTAGTTTGCTAGTTAATGTTATGAAAATCCTTCAGAATTTTAATTTTCTTATGAGTTAAAATTGTGAGATGATATCTGTTCTGCATGTGCAAATACAAAGTCGGGTTTGGGATTTTCCATGGGGTAAACGACAAGCTCTACCTAGAAGTTGGTTTAGGCAATATTTTTCTAGTTCTTTGCGACTGAGAGAGAAAAAGATGTCAGGAAAAGAAGAACCCAACACTAATTATCTAGTTCTTTCTTATTAAACTGCTTTAACATATTGATATTCTTAAGAGTCACACTTGTGAAATGGCATCTGATCTGCATGTGAAAATACAAACTCGGGCTTGGGCTTTCTCCATCGGGTAAAAAGCTGTTTGTATTACTGTTGGTTCACAATATTGAGATTACAAGCTTAAGGCCATGAAAACAGTTCTCTAATGATGAGTATCAGAAGTTTTATTGAGGGAAAGAAGGAAGATTATCTGATAGTTAAGGCATAAAATGTTATCATATGATAATTAAAATTGAGATTTTTGCCTATCCTCCCATTTTGCATGCTACATTCTTCATTTGGTTGGTAGAGTGTGCATCAGCTTGAATGTTATGCTTAGTACGTTTTTTCATTCTCGGCATGTTTTTTCACTGACTATGATGTTTACTTTTAATTGATGACCTCTTCTGCAGATGCGAACTTATGCAAGAACGGGTGAGAATCCTCCAGATGGTTTCATGTGTCCTGGGGGGTGGGAAGTATTGGTCAAATACTATGAGAGCTTGCAGGCTGAGGATGGTGTACAGAACTCTGCTGTTCTTACTGCTCGGTGATAATACTTTTAAGAGTACAAGAAAATTTGAGTTCTCTTTAGGTCTTGCGGATAATTCTTAAAGAACAAAGTTAGTTTGAAAATTTGAAACGAGAGAATTGATCGTGTCTCATGTTCTTTAGTTTGGACAATCCAGTTGAGGCTATCAATTATCTTTTGCTGGTATTTCTCTGCTATTTGGATTGATTTGTTTATATTTTTTGTTAGAAGTACTGATCATTCATTCTAAAAAAGTTGTCTTTTAACTGTTCTATGCCAGTCTTTTAGCTTCTTTTCTTCAGGATAAATGTAAAGCCAAATCTTAAATTTCGAGAACATAAAGCCAGACCAATTAAGGGGGGTATACCACCTAACATCTGAAATTCTCTAAGTTGAAAATATTTTGTGCTGTTTCTTGCTTCTCCATTTTAAGTGGCTACTAAGCTGACAATCCATTGAGTTTCAAAATGCTGTGGATCCCATGAGAAGCCATGAGTAATTAGGATGGCTGTTGATGATATTAGAGGGTATTCATCAAAGTCGAATTATGAATTATTATTACATAAAAAGTAGGTAGCCCAGTGGATAAAGCATCCTGCACGCAGGGTCCAGGGAAGGACCGTACCCACCACAAGGGGTATGATGTACCCTAATGCAAGCATTAGTGATTGCTTCTACGACTCGAATACGTGTGAAAATTACTAGATACTTAGTATTTTTCTTCTTCCACTACTGAGTTGACCTACGGTTGATGAAGGATAGCATGAAAAGTTTGAGAGTATATTTGGAGAAAGTAAAACCCTTTTCATGATTGAAACCAATTTCAAGCCAGTATAAGCTTCAATGTTCTTTTTAATTCTGAGTTGAGTGGAAGTAGAAGCTAAGCTCTCAAGAAATAGATTCTTGGGGCCGGGTTTCAACATTTTTGTTTCTTGGCTAACTGCTTGTTTTACCATCAACTAAGAACTCAAGATCCTATTAAGTGGGTCATTTGAATTAATTGTGAAGCAATTGGCGATAGGTTAATCAGATTATACTAAAAGTGGGAAGGTCCTCAAGTCAAAGTTAAATTACCAAGATAACCATCAAAAACTAAATGGTTATTCTACCCTTCTCTTAATTCAATCCAATAAATTATTAATTAATGAAGTTGTTAGCAGTTGAATAGTCTGAATGATGAGGGTACTGAAAAGTCGTAACAGATGAGGGTAATGAAGAGTTGCATTACAGCTAAGAATCCAAAAACAATCCCCTTCACTTCTGGCCTATTTTCTATGCTACGTTTCACCTGCTGCTTCTTTGTCTCATCTCCACACTGCATATTCTTTCTTATTGAACGAAGAATTGATAAAATCATATAATTGCTCAATATCTTGCATGACTGCATAACCAACAACAGAAGAAGCATGGAAATCTTATTCATAGTCCCTTGATGACATTGCTTCTAAGGAATAATTAGAAATAGGAATTCACGTCTTACTGCGAACAAAAATGTGAATATTGTTGTCGTTTTGGAGATACTCCGGTAAATTTATCATTCTTCGAGTCTTTGGTTTTATCTTTGTGATACAACAATTCTGCAAATAAATGCAAAGTATAACTTTCGCAACTGTCTGATCAGTGACCACACAAACTGATTATCTTCTCTTATTTTTTATCCATAAGGTATATATCAATGGAATGATCATTTGGATCAAGATTCTCATGATTCCCTTTACATTCTCTGATGATTTAACTAATTTAAATTGTTAATGTATAGGGCCTGATCTTACAATTATTTGTCTTAAGATCTGTATCAATTGATTTCTTTTTGTTCAAGAAATTCATGATTTAATTTCCTTTAAATTTTAGGAATAATTACTCAAAGGGCAAATTATTAGTTTGATTTGGACTGGTTGACTGGTTCCACTTATGCTATTATGACAAAGGTAATTTTCCTATAATTTCATCCTTAAATTATATGTCGTTGTTTGATGGCCTTTCCCAGCTTTCTAAAAGGCTAAAATTCAAATTAAATTACTGGATGCAATTTTAAATGTCTGAGATTTCATCCTAGACTTTTTTCTTTTGAAATGTTTGTAACTGGACACTTTTTGAAGTTATTGTCTGTAAAGTTAAAGGCATTACAATGAATTTGATCTATTGTGATTTGTGACCTATAATAGCTACCCATCTACAAAAAATTACAGAATGAAAGAGCTTTTTGCGCTGATAACGTACTTGAGCATCTATAAATTATCATCGCCTTTTGGTGTAGATTTCACAGTTTACACCCCGGCATGTATATATAGCAATGCTTTTTTGAAAATTACTTTTATTGAGAACCAGTTTGTGTTTGACTATTTAATTTGAAAAGCACTTCAGAGCAATAATTAGTGTTTGGTCGGGATTTTAAAAAGTGCTTCTAAGTATATTTTTCTCAAAAGTTCTTTTCAAAAAAATGATTTTGCGGAGAAACTATTTTTCTGCCTCTCCAAAACTGCTTCCGCTTCTATTAAGTTTGGCCAAACACTTTAGAGGACTTTGGTTGGGCATAGTTTATTCGTATATGGCCAAATACCTAGGCGGCCCATTAAAGTTGGCTCTAGTTTCCATTTTGATACTTTAACTAAGCTCAGTACCTATTGAACACTTTAACTTCAATAAAAATGTACCAATTAAACACAAATTTAATAATTCTACATTGTGTTTGGAGNAAACAACAACCAATTGAAATAAACATATTCGTAAATTCGAACATAAATCAGTGATTAAATTCAAAAAATAGGTATGAATTCAAGGAAGCCAAGTCGTCTTTCTCGCAATGAAGGCTCCGAAAAATTCGAACCAAAACCCAATTCGAATCGGCTTAAAATATTTTCAAAAATGTTTCCAACAAGAATCTATAACACCCAATTAATTTCTAGTCAAAGTTTTCAGATTTTTTTTTTTAATTCAAGCTCAAAGCTCCTTTAAATGGAGGTCAAAGTTTATCCTCAAATTAATTCTCATGCAGCAAACAGTTTCAGCCAACAAATTCCAACTCAAATGAAAATTAGAACTCCAAATTTATTCCCTAAATCTCAAAATCGAGATAGACAATAATAGTCTATGGTTAACCCCACGAAGTTAGAGTTCAAAATTGTGATTAAACTTAGACTGGAATACTACTACAATGGAGTAAGATTCTCAACAATGGAGAGGCTTCTAAGTTTAGGTGGTTGGGCAGTAATGTGGACCGGTAGGGATGGAATTTGGTGTCAAAGGTATTGGCTATGGTTGAGTCGTGCTAGAGATGATGGTGGCAAACAATAAGATTAAGGAGAGAAGAGAAAAAAATTAGAATTAAGCAGTATTTACTTATATTTTTCTTTCCACGCTCTCAAAAGAACGTGTAATTATAGATACTATGTCATGTTAGCATATGAGTTCAATAGGTACATTTATATTGAAATTAAAGTGTCCAATAGGTACTGAACTTAGTTAAAGTATCAAAATGAAAACTGAAGCCAACTTTAAGGGGCCGTACACCTATTTGGCCTTCGTATATTATGTTAGTTAAAAAATATTAATATTCATCATTTTCAGGAGCTTGAAGTTTCTTTTTATCTTTATTTTATAAATCAAATACACTTTGATAATATCTATATATTTTTTACAAAGTTTATAGTCATTTATGTCCTTCAAAAACCGAGTGACCATTTTATCCGTCTATCATACAATATTAGTTTTACTATTTTGTACAATATGTAAATTAAAATGCAACGTAAGTTCTACGGTGAACCAATATTGAATTGTAAGTTACAATTTGTAAGACAACAAAAAGCTCTCTAATTATATATGTAGAATAATTAGTCATAAAGTAAATGCGCTTGAATTAACACATTGAATATGAGCAATCAACAACGGATACAATAAAAAAAGTTGATGCAATTATTAGACCAAGGTTGTGCTTTCAATTTTGAACTGTATATTCAATTGCAAGAAAAACAACACCAAAATAAAGATAAAGTAAAAATATTGGGTGACGTAAGAAAAAAATTGGGTAACACAAATAGGAGGTTTAGAAGAACTAATGAAACATGTGAATGCACTAACTTTATCCATAAAGATAATCAACCTTATGATAATTAAACTATGGTGACTTTAATAATGTGAACAAAAGTGACTATGACCAGGTTTAAAATAGTTGATTATATTATTTAGGATTCACGTTTGAGATTTTTAGTTTCTTCATGTACGAACTATACATTGTTATATACTGATGTAATGAATTTTATTTTTTTCCTCTGTTATAGTTCTTATTTCAGATTTATGAGGAACAATATTCTCGAAAAAATAGAGCATGAACACTTTAGGTACAATGAAGTTGCGTGGAATAGAATTTATGATTAAATAAAAAAAATTAGCATTTAAAAAATGTACAAATTACTTGCGAATTTTCATGAAAAATGTTTTGAGTATCATCAATCTTTGTATGGGAATTTACCTACAAAACAATATTAGACATTATTATTTTCTTCCGGAAAAATTACATAATTTTATTTTTGGGAGTTAAAATAAAACTTCAGGTTAATCGAGAATTTTATATGGATTATACCTACAAACTTTTACCAAAAGATTTTAATGAAATTTTTCAATGAATCTTTCATGGGGATTTCCTGCGTAAAAGTATTCTTGTGGATGTACTTGTGGATTTTCATCGGGATATTCTTATGGAATTATCATAGGAATTCACATTACCACAAGTTTTGGCCTAAAATTTCCTAGGGATTTACATGAAGTTTTTCATGGGAAATTACTTGTGGACTTTTTGCCAAAAAAAATTTCAAATAAATTTCTTTTCTTGACACTACTGAATCAAAGTTTTCTTGTGAAAGAATTCGCAAGTAATTTACAAAACAAATCTGTAGTCCCTAGGTAACTTATCTAAGAATTTAAAATCTCTAATTAACTTACTTGAAGATTTACATATTTCTTTACATGGGCCAATTTTATATTGCATTTTCAAGAGAGATATTAATTTAGACCAACAAGAGTCTTAATCATGAAAGAAATTAATTGAAACGGATGAAAGCAAATTACATCGGGAATTACATCTATAAGAAAATATCAGTTGAGAAATGCTTCATTATATGTTTGTACCTTATAAAATCAAAATAAGAAAAACATACATACCTAATTAAAATTTAATTATTCATCTTCATAGATTTAGATGATATCCAATCATCTTGACTACAACAAACAAGTCATCATACAACGATCAACATTAATCATTTACAGAAATTTGCACTCTATTCATTTGTGTATAATTATTCACTAAAATCTTTATTTTGATAATATTGATACTATTTTATAAAATCGTATACAATATGACTCGGTATACACGTGCAACGCACGTGCTGAGAAACTAGTTCTTTAATAAGTATTAAATTGACACTTCTAGTATCTTTATAATACTAAAGTTATCATGGGTTTTCATAGCTTATTGGAGTTTGTTCAGCCATCATTTTTTTTTTTAATTTTTTTATGGTACGGTGTGACAACATATTCACATAATAGCGAAAAAAGTTTTAGTTATAGATATTGACACCAAGTAGCTAATAAATATATATCATAATAATAATGTGTATTCTTTGTTTATATCAAAATGTGTGAGCACGTAATTTTTGCCCGACTGAAAATTCTCCTATAAAATTTACAAAAATAGATTTTTCTAATTAATTTAATTTTCATAAAATTTTTAGTATTTTCTGGTTAATGTTTTTTTGCATTTAGTTGCATTTTAATTTTTAAAATCATGAGAAAAATACCAAAAATGTCTAAAATATTTCATGCATAGCATTTTAGGTCTTAATTGCATTTAGGATTTAATTACATAAGTTAATTGCATTATTAAACAAAAATGCACAAAACATATCGGTCATTTTTACATTCTTAGCTTTTAGTTGCAAATTAGTTGTGAGCACGTGATTTTTGCCCGACTAAAATATTCCTATAGAAATTCACAAATAGATTTTTCTTAATTGTTTTTAGTTTTATAGAATTTGTAGGAATTTTGGTTAAAAGTTGCTTGCATTTAATTGCATATTTAACATTCTAAAATCATAAAAAAAAATAAAAAAATACCAAAATGTCTGAAGTATTTCGTGCATAACATTTTTGGTCTAGTTGCATTTAAGATTTAATTGCATGAGTTAAATGCATTATTAAACGAAAACCACAAAAAATATGAGTCGTTTTTACATTTTTAGCTTTAAATTGCAAATTAGTAATTCTTCTTTATTAGTATAAATTCATTAATTATGGTAAAATAGATAACTAGGTTTATTTCTATAAATTAGATTGATTTAGGACTTAATTTAGGTTTTTAATTAATTAATTTCATTAGGATTTAAAATCAAGAAAAAGAAAAGAAAAGAAAGAAAAATCTGTTTGGTCTCGAATTTGGGCCAAAATAATTTCTGGCCCAAACAATTACCCCAAATCCGCCCAACCCAACACCTACAAACCCCCTTACCCGGCCCAGCCTCGTCACTTAACCAAAACGACGTCGTTTCGTTAACGGCGATCTCAGCTGTTGATTTCCTTTGATCGAACGGCCCGCAACTCCCCCCTCTAACCCTTGTATCTGTCGGAGCCCCCCAAACCCCGAAAACCCCTTTCATTTTCCTCTCCCTCTCTCTAACTCACCAAATCCTAGCCGCCCCCAAACCCCTCGTCTCTCTCTCTCTCAAACTCCCTTAGAACCCTAGCCGCCCAAAATTCTCACACCGGCGGCGCTGCTCCAAATCCCCTCAAACTCACACCCTATAATCCTCATACCCTCCTAATCCCTAATCCCCCATCAATCTCTCCAGAAACCTCCCCAAAACCCTTGAATCCCAGATCCGAAAACCCTCATGCAACCTAGTTTCACTCTTTTTCAACCCTTGAAGTTTCAAGACTCGATTTGTCTTGAAACTTACACTAATCGACTGTTCTCGTGGTATTATTTCATTTTTTGATTAAAGTCATCAGAAAACCTTCTTTTTCTTATTCTAGATTAATTTTCCATCCTTTTTCTGTTTCGTTCTCTCTTGTTTTACAAGTTTTAAAACTGTTTGTTTCATTTGTTTAGCATAATTTGATTCTCTGTTTTTGCATGCCTATTG